CATCCTCCTGTCTAGGAGAATCACTTGTCTTTGAAAGACTGGGGATAACAGGGGCAAAAAAAAAAAAGAAGAAGCAGCAAAATAATATTATAATGGCTTGTGTGGGAATGGCAGGTAATTTATACTTCACTGGTGTGCTGCTGGAGCAATTTTAAGGGCGAAATGTTAGCTTTTGAGGAGATGAAAGAAAAATGAAAACATTTATCTGGTTAAATGACTAAGTAAATAAACTGCCTATCAGACTTTCCCAGCTGTCAAGTCATAGTAGCATCTGTAACAATAGGGAATTGTTTGGTCTGTCTCCCTTAGTAACAATAGATATTGCTATAAATAATAAGTCCCTGTCATTTTTTTAATACTGATCTTCGTAGTGGGAACCCAAAACATATAAAGTATTACCTGATGGATTTCTAGTGTTCATGGGGAAAGAAAACTGAACTTCAGATACAGAGAAGGAAGAATCTTTAAGGGGAAAACAAGGAAGGAAGGGTGAAGAGTAAAGGAGAAAGAGAAAGAATGAAGCAAGGAGCATGGAGTTAGGGGACTTGGGTGGGAACAATTATGGTTTTTAAGCAGATAGCCTTAGACACACACTTGATTCTAAACCCAAACCCTCTCCTATGGATAAATATGGATAATTGCCAACAGTCCCTCCCTGGGTTGTCCCAGGATCAAATGAGATCATTAATGTGAAAGTGCTTTGTAAGCTTTGAAATTAAAGCTTACACATTCGGGGTGGTTATTTCTATTCTGTTTTAAATACAATAAGATGATGAAGCCTTGCTAAAGGATGTACGAAACCAGAAAATTTTGTAGATCTAGAACTGCCCATTTCCTAGGGGTAGACTACCTAGGTAAGTCCAGCCGGAAGTGTTGGAGGGACCAGGATCCCACTTCCTCATACTCTCGGGAGGAGATGCCCAGTGGGAATCCTCTAGCTGGGAAGTCCTTAGAACATTTCAGACAGGAGATGGGAAAGGCTCCACTGAGGCCAATTGGTGTGACAGAGAGACCAGGGTTACAGGAGGTATCTGAAAGCTAAGTCAGAAGGAGGCTAAGCTTGAGGGGCATCGGAGGCGAGGAGAGGGCATGCCCTCAGCTGACACGCAGTTATCTGCATTGGGGATCACAGCGGGAGCAGACAGTGGGAAAGTTCAGTTGCGGACCAATTGACCTTGTAGAGTCCATCGGATAAGGCAGTAGAAATGTCTGCAGGCTGCTGATCTTATGACTCCGGAGGTCAGAAAAACAAGCCTGGGCTTGAGATCAAGATTAAAACAAGACTGTAAACCGTTGAACTAAAAACTACAAAGTAGAGCATACCAATGATTTAGGTCAGGGATTGTCACATTCTCTGCCAGGTTCAGATCACGAAGACCTATGTTTTATGGGCCATTCGGTCTCTGTCACAAGTACACAGATTGACTGGTGTTGTAGCTAAAAATTCCCACGAGGCAATGTAGAAGCAGATGGGTGTGGCTGGGTTCCAGTATTACTTCATATGCAGAAACAGGAAGCCACTGGGACTGAAGCTTGCAAGCTCTTATTTGGATCCCCTCCCCCCACCTCCCTGCTGCTCAGAGCTTCGCTGAAGAAGTAGCACAATGCCTTTCATGCACTTCTAATAATAAAATAGAAAAGAAACATGACTAGCATGTTTAGGGCCCTTTCATAAATAACTCCCAATTCAATACTCATAGGAACATGCTTGGCTACTTTTCCTTTTCCTTTTTCACAAATACAACAACAAAGGCAGAAAGGTTAGTGGCTTGCTAAAATCCCAGGATTCACTTGCTCTGTGAACCCATTTGCCGTTGAGGTGGTTCCAGCTCACAGTACCCTTCTAGGACAGAGTCGAACTGCCCCATAGGGAGTCAGACTGCTCCCTTCGTTGACAGCCGAGCTCTTAACCACCATGCCACTGGGGACCCTTGTCTGGTCCTAGGTCCA